TATGAATTCATTGTTATGGTGTAAACACCTTTTCTAAGCTGTTAAACCATTGTTATGAATTCATTGTTATGGTGTAAACACCTTTTCTAAGCTGTTAAACCATTGTTATGAATTAATTATACTTATCATAGTGTTATATTTTTAACACCACATTATTTATTCAGTCCATTTGGAAAGAAATGTATAATAGTATTTGTTAAAAGTCCATTACGTACTGAACGAGACACACAGTTTTTAAAAAGTATAATAGGCCTAATTATAAATATCCATTGTTCATATTCTGAAAGGCTAACTACAGTTAATTAACAGCTAATACAAAGGTTTAAACCCGTATGGAAAATAAGCCCACAAACTTGTGAATAGTGTATTCTTAGAAGTCAGTAATACGATTTATCACATGTAACAGTTGCTACTACTACTACAGATATTTCAAAATGTTTCCCTAATACTGCTACCAGGGGGTCTTTTTCTTCTTCACTATTTTATGTAACTGTAAACACATCTTCTGTTAACTACTGATAGTCCTCACATACTGTATCATAATTCAGTATTTTGTCTAAACTTCCAAGTGGGACTTCTAAATTATCAAGAATCTCATGCCAGCAAAGTCATGAACCCATAAACAATCTATTAAATAACTAGTTTAGTAAAACGTGTTTATAAATCTAACAGGATCCCATTTATAGGTGTATAGCAATAAATGTACACACACAAACCTTCGTTAGAGCAGATGTATACTTCAAAAAGGAACCATACATAAATACTGAAGCTCAAGCTGTTAAATAAGGGGGAATTTTTAAGCATGTTTAGTCAAATTATTTTAAAATGTACAGGATGAATTCAATGTAAATTTGATCACACTTCTTCACAGTTTTCCCTATATTATGGCCAAATACACAACACAGTGATAACCTAGCCTCAAAGCCATTATAACACAGCAATAAAAAATCCTTCATGAGTTTATATCCACCATAAAACAAGACTGGTTTCGTTTTTATACCAGAAACCAGCTTACTTTTCTTCTGATATTTCTTTTACATGTAAAATGTTTAAAAAAGGTTTACTTTTAGGGTTTCTGGGCCGAGCTACTGCAACAACAGCATCGTTTGTACATTTAGTGTTATTTGTGAGGTTTCTGGGCTTGACTACAACAACAATACTGTTTGTACATTTTGAGTTATTTGTGAGGTTTCTGGGCCTGGCTACAGCAACAACAACACTGTTTGTACATTAAGTGTTACTTGTGGTGTTTCTGGGCCTGGTTACTGTAACAACAACAACACTATTTGTACATTAAGTGTTACTTGTGGTGTTTCTGGGCCTGGTTACTGTAACAACAACAACAACACTATTTGTACATTAAGTGTTACTTGTGGTGTTTCTGGGCCTGGTTACTGTAACAACAACACTGTTTGTACGTTAAGTGTTATTTGTGGGGTTTTTGGGCTTGACTACAACAATAACAACACTGTTTGTACATTAACTGTTACTTGTGGTGTTTCTGGGCTTGACTACAACAACAACAACAACACTGTTTGTACATTTAGAGGAGATTATGTATATGAATTAATCCTTTACTTGTATTCATATCATCAAATAATTCAAAGTACCTAATTTAGTAAACTATTGTATATTTTAAGTACTAACTGTATGTCTAGATTGGAGTAGGTGTAACGTGTAACTTATACTTTCATGTACGTTTGCATCGCCATGTAAAGTTCATTCAAACTAAAATATTGTATCTTGTGAAACTTTTCTTTCTTCAAAATCATCATTTAACATAATTCTCCTCTTGCAACTTCTTCGTGAATTAATCAACATTTCTATCAAGTACTAAGTTTCCACCTTAACTTCAATCTTTAATTATGTTTTTTTGCTAAGGTTAAAAAAAGAAATTATATTTTTCATTTTAATACATACAGGACTATTTTACCTTTTTTTTGTCATGACAAAATTCATTTTTACTGAATTGAAATGAAGACGTATATTTTAATTTTTATTCCTTATAACTTCTGTCCTACTGAGTCCAAATGAAAGATACTATCTGGTACACTGAGAGACTAAAATATCACCCAGGAAAGTTTTTAAGGTATCATAATCATAATAACTTAGAAATACCTGACCTTAGGTTCCCAGAGAAATCATTTATATTTTTTCTTGTATTTTATCAGCATCATTTCTCTAAATGAAGCTAACTTTTATTTACTTGTCATCACATAAAAAAATCAAAGATTGGCTGTTACACTGAACAGAGAAAATCAGTGATGTACAGTGTCTCGTCGGTGACATAGAGTCTCTCGTCGGTGACGTACAGTCTCTCGTCGGTGACGTACAGTCTATCGTCGGCGACGTACAGTCTATCGTCGGCGACGTACAGTCTATCGTCGGTGATGTACAGTCTCTCGGCAGTGACGTACAGTCTCTCGTCGGTGATGTACAGTCTTTCATCAGCAACATACAGTCTCTCGGCAGTGACGTACAGTCTCTCGTCGGTGACGTACAGTCTCTCGTCGGTGACGTACAGTCTCTCGTCAGTGATGTAGTCTCTAGTCTGTGACATACAGTCTCTTGTCGGTGACATACACTCTCTCGTCAGTGAGGTACAGTCTCTCGTCAGTGACGTACAGTCTCTCGTCAGTGAGGTACAGTCTCTCGTCGGTGACATACAGTCTCT